ATTAAATATCACCTAGGCTGTTTTATTGTAAAAATGGATATACAATGTGATATAATCATCCTTGTGGAATTTATTTTCCAGTCTGTTCTTCAGAAGCCTTGAAGTGACTAGCTATATTTATATTTGGGAGAACTACAGACTTTTTGAATTGCCTTGGGATTCTCCATGGACATGGTATTTAACCTTCTTAGGAGTTGACTTTGGCTACTACTGGTTCCACCGCATGGCACATGGTGAGTTATAACCAATGTATTTTGTCAATGATGAAGTGTGTTTAGTACATAAGAAGCACTTGGTAAATATTTATGGAATAAAAAACAAATCAATGAAATAATACATCTCATAGCATGTAAAGATAGCTAACGAAGATTTACTTTGAAATTTCAGCACAAACAAAATGAAACCATTATAAATAAAATTATTGCAGATATATTTTCCTCATGATTATGATTGCATTTCCTTGAGAAATCGATAGCTTTAGCATTGCTTTTTAATGGGTTTCCATCTATTGTTAAACTGTAGGCAATTATATATAATACCAAACTTCGCATCCCAATCATCACAGGTCATTCTGGAGAGTTCTGAAGCAGCATAAAATTTTAGGGAACATCTGCCATCATAGTCATCATGATTCAATTTCTTGGCAGTGCTTCTGCATTACAAATGAAAATGCAATCAGCTCATCACTGACCATACTGCACTTGAGTGTTCCCATAGTTTTCCAAGAGTTCCCATCTCATACAAAGCCTTCTCTCTCTGCTGGTTCACTGAATTCGCATTAGGGATTCATAACTGCACCTTCCAAAGAAATGTTTTGTTATGAGACAAAGAGAGAAATGAAAAAATTTGGAAAGGGCTGGGCCTGTACTTCTATAGATGTGGGTGAGCCTTAAGCGCTGTGGCGGTAAACAGAGTGTGTGAGTTCTGAGGAGCAATGAGACTTGCCAAAATTCTGAAGCCAAGTGCAGAAAGATGATACTGTTGAAATAATGGCAAGTGAGATGCACCACCGAGGATTTCAGAGGCTGTTTAGGTTGAAGGGGAAGGAAGGAAGGAAGGAAGGAAGGAAGGAAGGAAGGAAGGAAGGAAGGAAGGG